CTAGTCGCGCCTTGCCACCGTGGCGAGCCCCAGCTTGTCCAGCACCACGGCCTGGTCGAACGCCTTCTCCCGCTTGTAGCGGTAGCGGTCGCTGGCCGAGAAGTGGCCGACCTCGAGGTCCATCTTGAGCAGGACCTCCCGGTCGGGGCTCGTGCTCATGGTGCGCAGCTTGCTGGCCCACTTCGCCGGCTCCCAGAACGCCACGCGGGGATCGTGGAGGCCGGCCGTGATCAAGACGTCTGGGTAAGGCACGCTGCGCACGTTGTCGTAGGGACAGTAGCTGAGCATATAGTCGAAATACTTCCACTCGTTGGGATTGCCCCATTCCTCCCACTCGCCAGTCGTGAGCGGGATGGACGGGTCGCACATCGTGTTCATCACGTCGACGAATGGAACGCCTGCGATCGCAATGCGGAACAGGTCTGGTCGCATGTTCAGAACGCTGCCGACGAGCAGGCCGCCAGCGCTGCGGCCCTCAATGGCCATCTTGTCGGGTACTGTAATGCCTTGCTCCACAAGATGCTCGGCGCACGCGATGAAGTCGGTAAAGGTGTTGCGCTTGTTCCTATACTTGCCCTGCTCCTCGTGCCATGCTCCTCCTCCTCCTCCTCCTCCTCCTCCTCCTCCTCCTCCACCCCCTCCCCCTCCCCCTCCTCCTCCTCCTCCTCCTCCTCCTCCTCCTCCTCCTCCTCCTCCTCCTCCTGCTCGTTTTCCTTATCCTCCTCATCCTCGTCATACCCCCCCTAGTTCTGGCGAGCTCCTCGTACCAGCCCCGGCCCATCTCACCGCCGCCGCGCACGTTGGCTATGCAATACACCATGCCTCTGTCGAGGTATGGAAGCACGTGAACGTCGAATCCTGGATCCACGCATATCCCGTAGGACCCATAGCCGTAGAGGAAGCATGGCTTTGGCTTCTTGTTGTCCCCCTCCCCGTCGTACAAGTCCTTCCTGTGGACCATGCAGATTGGGATCTGCGCCCCGTCTGGCGCGGTAGCAAAGAAGCGCCGGCAGGTGTACTTGCCAGGATCAAAGTTGGGGACCTCAGGGGGCCCAGGGACACACAAATAAATACACACAAATCCCGGGATTCCCTATATTTTCGAATGTTTTCTGGGCTGGGGTCTTTCCCCCTCCCAAGTTGTGCATACTTTCCGGGGAGTCGACGATTAATTGTGCCTGTGTGTTTTTTCGCCTCCTGGGGACCTCCCTCCGCCACACCACGCTCCGGGCGCTCCCTGCGGGGTCGGCCAGGTCCACGTCGATGGCAATCTGTGGTGTCGTGAGGGAGCTGTAGTGGATTCGCAGAAAATTGGTCGCCTCGGAGGCACTCCCGATATCCAGGCTGCTCCATATCTGCACTTATGTTGCGCCCATCGCACTTAGGGACCACATCCCAAAAATAATTTCGAGCACCCGGAAAAGTGTCGAAAGAGTATCGAAACAATGTCGAACGAGTGTCTCCCAGGGCCCGACACGTGAAAACCCTCGAGTTTCGGTACTTCCTTGGTACTCGAGATTCTTTCTGGCAGTCATGGCTAAAGCAGATTGGAGCATCATACATCTGGACATGCGATGTCCAAATTTGTTCCATGCTCGGGGATGTTCTGACCCGGGTACATCCAGACCTCGGTCAGCAGAAAACCAAAAAACTGACATGCAGGAAAAAACTGCAACGCAAGTCTTCTCAAACCCGGGTCAACCAATATGAGCGGCCGCCTCGCGGTCACGAGCGGCTCGCTAATCCGGGTCAGCCAGAGGGGGCCTCGTCCCAGGCCGTATTTTCCACAGCCCCAGGGGCCGTGTTTGCGGCGGTCACACGCCCGCGTTGGCGGGCATGTTGTGTGACCCCTCTCGAGAGCCCTCGGGTCAGGAGCAAAAGAAGAACGTACGCGTAATTATATGAATCCACGTTGGTTGTACGCTCGTATCATTGGCGATGCGTCGGCGATACATCGGCGATGCACCGGCGATGCGGCGCGATGCTCCGACCCCATGTGCTCCGAGGTAGGGTGCCCTCCCCAAACCAACCTCGATTGTATACCTCGGTCCAGCCGTACAGAGCCCTCGTGACACCATCGGGCGTTGGCAGAACTGGGTTTAGTGGAACCTGGTTTAAAGAATTGTACCGGGGGCGCCCCCCCGTCCCATTTCCACGAACCGGAACTGCCGTCACCCGGAAAAAACACCAGTTACGGCAAACCTGGTTTAGTGATTCTGGCCAATTGAGGGGCCCCAGGGCCCTACCACTAACCGGATTCCCTTACCTGGGGTCCTGGCCATTCCCGACACCAGCAAGAGGGGCGGCGCCAGATCGAAATGGCCCGACCGCCAACCCACCAACCCCGAGGCCCTGCTCCGCCGACGAGCCGGCCAGGCAACCGGCCTGTGCAGTCCATCCGTATAACAAGGACGAGGGTTGGGTCGGGCATGTCCTCCTACAGGAGGCTTCTGGCAGAACAGATAAAATATCAACAACAAAAAGCAGAAGAGGCCAAACGAGTACGAAAAATCGTCACCATATTACTTGTTGACCATCCTTGAATTGTTCCTCCTGTAGGGGGCCATGCCAAATTTAATGCAATTGCTCTGGGAGGCCGTGGAGGCTCGGGCCCAGATGCAGATGTCCGACGAGGGGATATTGGTCGAGCCGGTCGTCTCTCTGGGAAGTCGGCCTCTGGGGGCCCTACTTTCAGGTCAGGCCTGTCCTCCTACAGGCAGATTTTGGAGGGACAGGTTTGGAAAGTCAAACAAGTCATCAAACATAGTCAACAAAGCACAATAGACTGTCCCCTGACTATGTGTCTACTATTCCTGACAATTCCTCCTATGGAGAGACATGCTCGACTCAACCCTAATTTGCTGCGTCGCAGCGCGGCAAGGCCAGTCCGCACGCGCGCTCGAGCGGGCCGGGAGGAGACAACAGCTACTTGACCGGATACTCTGGAGGCCCCACGGGACTCCCATAGAACGAGGGCAGACGAGAAGGACGCAAGGGCCTTGGAGGCTATGTCGACACCTTGCGAGCGGAACGCGGCCAGCAAGAGTGGCCGAGGATGTGGCGAAAGGGAAGGATGCAAGGGTAACCTTGGAGAGTCGCTCATCCGTACTCTGCGGGCTGACTGTACCGACACCGATCGGACTTGACCTGGGGCCCGCCGAGCTGGTGTCGGCCAGACCTTGGCGGCGCGCACGATGGGGGCGGCGCGAGGGTGGCGGCCTTCTGAGCAGGCGGGGGAGACTCTCAGAAGTCCAGGGCTTCTCAGAAGGGCCCTCCCCGCTTCCACAAACGCAGGGAGGGCTCTCTAAAGACAAGGTGCTTCTCGGAAGCCCTCCCGGCATCTGGGAAGCCGTCTCAGAAGCCCAGAGGGCTGTTCAGAAAGTGCACCTGCCTTCTCAGAAGGCACCCGCCAAGGCCGCTGCCTTCTAAGAGGACCCCCCCTCGCGCCATCCCCTTGCTCGTGCCGCCAAAGATCAACATACCTATACGACCGCCCTTCCGGTGATAAGCAAAGGAAACCAACGTCTTACTCAATCGATCTCACTATCGATATCATTACCAGTCTCACAATCGATCCCGCGATCGATCGCACAAGCGATCCAACTATCGATATCACCGATCTCAATATCCCTCTTACTATCAATCTCCCGATCGATCCCACTACCGGCTTCACTATGATCTCAGACCTCACTATCGAGCTGTCGATCTCACTATCGATCTCACAAGACACCAAGGGGACACCACGGGACACTGCAGGACACCACGGACACCGCGAGACACAGCGGGACACCACGGGACACCATCGGGACACCAATCGACACGCACCGGGACACCACGAGACACCGTGGGCGGCCCACGGCGGGACACCACGGCAGGACACCACGGCGGGACACCCACGGGCACCCGCCCCCCAACAGGTGGAGCGGACTTCTGTTCTCGCCGTGCCCTAATTGGCCAGAGGAGGGCTCATTTTTTGCTTGTTTATGAAGTTTCGCCTCGCTCGCACGAACGACACGAACCCAAAACCAAAACCGATTTCCCGGTGGGGGACTCTCCGTCCCACATCGATGTCACCCCCTCACCTCCGATCGCCATGATCAGCGGACAGATCGGCAGATCGGCCCGACTGCCCGATCGGCCGGATCAGTTGGTCGGCCTGGGCGGACAGATCGAGGCCCGCTGTGCAGCCGTCGTAGTCCCTGTTGGCCCCGATCTCGACCTCGAACAGCTCCTCTCGGTGCACGGGTGGCAGCCCTGGCCCCCCTGTGTCCCGCCAGCACAGGCAGAACCAGGGGTGGAAGCGGATGGGGAGAGAGCGGAGAAGGAGCGGGAGGATACTGGCGGCGAGGAGCAGCGGCAGCAGCAGCAGCAGCAGCAGCAGCAGCAGCTGGCACAGTCGCGTCGCAGTGGCCAGCGACAGCGGGAGGAGGAGCATTAGGAGGGAGGAGGTTGAAAAGGCTGGGACGCGAAAGAACAGGATAACACGAGCGTGAGGAAGGAGGACAGGAGGAAAGAAGGTTGGATGGAGTTCAGAGGTGCCTATGCAGGTAGGCGACCAGGACGAGGGAGCAGTGCATATGTATGAACAGGAAGAAGTGGAGGACGGGCAGCGTGAGTGACTACGAAGAGGACCAGGAGGAGGAGGAGGAGGAGGACGAGGAGGAGGATAAATGAGAAACAGGGGATGATGAAGCAGAGGGGGGACCACTATAAGAAGCAAGCAGAGGCTGACACGGAAAACGCTGCGCAGGAGGTGGACGAAGAAGACGCCCGGGGAGGAAGACCAGCATCAAACGCAGCACGACTTGAATCCACGTCGCAGGTCGCCAACGTCGTCGCCATCGTTGCAAACATCGTCGTTGTGGTCGTTGTCGTCGTCGTCCTCGTCGAACTCGAGCCGCTGCAGGGAGGACGGCTCGAGGGACCCGCCCAGCGTCCAGATCTGGGTCAGGCCCTCTTCGCGGCCCTCCAGCACGACGTGATCCTGTACAGAAAGTGCA